AAGCAGCTCTTTAATCTGAATCAGGAATGTTCTTAATGGCATCCAGAATGGTGGCTCCTTTCCAGGTTTTCAGTTTACTTTGCCCAGATCCATCAGAGGAATTGCTATCTATGTAATCTACAGGCTTACTAAACGTATTTTTTCAATAAAAAGACTTGAAAGTCGAAATTACTCCTGGATCCATGGGCTGCAGAGTGGACATTGTGTTAGCAGGCAGGAAAACATTAATCTCACTGTACACCTCCATCAGAGCTCTTGGGCGACCAGGAACATTGTCAGTGAGCAGTAATATTTTGAAAGAAATCTTTTTTTCTGAGCAGGTCTCAACAGTGGGCTTAAAACATTCAGTAAACCATGTTGTAAACAGATGTGCTGTCATCCAGGCTTTGCTGTTCCATTTAGAGCACAGAAAGAGTAGATTTAGCATGATTCTTAAGGGCCCTAGGGTTTTTGGAATGGTAAACGAGCATTGGCTTCACCTTCAAGTCACCAGCTACATGAGCCTCTAACAAGAGAGTCAGCCTGTCCTTTGAAGCTTTGAAGCCAGGCACTGACTTCTCCTCTCTAGCTATGAAAGTCCAGGCTTCCAACCGAAGGCTCTTTCGTCTACACTGAAAATCTGTTGTTTAGTAATAGCCAGCTTCATTAAATTATCTTATCTGGATCTTCTCCATCAGCACTTGCTGCTTCCCCTTGCACTTTTATGTCATGGAGGGATGGCTTCTCTCCTTAAACTTCATCAATCAACCCCTGCCAGCTTCAAGCTTTTCTTTTGCAGCTTCCTCGCCTCTCTCAGCCTTCACGGAATTGAAGAGAGTTAGGGCCTTGCTCTGGATTAGGCTTTGGCTTAAGGGAACGTCGTGGTTGGTTTGATCTTCTATCCAGACCACTAAAACTTCCTCCATATCAGCAATAAGGCTGTTTCTCTTTCTCGTCATTCGTGTGTTCACTTTTAATTTCCTCCAACAATTTTTCTTTTGCATTCACAACTTGGTTGTTTGGCACAAGAAGCTAGCTTTCAGCCTATCTCGGTTTTCCACATGCCTTCCTCACTGAGCTCAATCATTTCTAGCTTTCGATTTAAAGTAAGAGACACACGACTCTCCCTTTTACTTGAACACTTAAAGGCCATTGTAAGGTTATTAACTGGACTAATTTAATATTGCCGTGTCTCAGGGAATAGGGGGACCCAAGGAGAAGGACAGAGACAGGGGAACGGTAGGTTCACGGAGCAGTCAGAACACACACAACATTTATCGATTAAGTTCGCCGTCTTTCATGGGTGCAGATTATGGCACCCCAAAACAACTACAACAGTAACATCAAAGATCACTGATCACCATAACAAATATAATATCAATGAAAAAGTTTGAAATATAGTGAGAATTACAAAAATGTGACACAGAGACACAAGATGAGCAAATGCTGTAGGGGAAATGGTGCCAACAGAGTTACTCGATGCAGCGTTGCCACAAACCCTTCAAATTGTAAAAAACGCAGTATCTGCAAAGCGCAATAAAACATAGTATTCTTGTATTCCCGTGAGCCCTTCCTGGGGAATCTACTAGAACATGAGCCTCAGACAATCAAAATAACTAGAAAGACACCAACATATGGACTGATGGTGAGCACAAAGCACCTTCCTTCTAGTTCCTTTCAGAAGTGAGGCTGAGGGTAGGAGGGAGATGAAGGTACACGATGGCCATATGATCTGACGGTGCAGCTCTAGTGCAATCATAATAACGGCGGGAGAATGGAGGTAGTACATGTAAAAACATTGTAAACAGTTTTCAATCATCGCGACTGAAGAACGAGTGCTGTTATTCTGAGGGTGTCATCTGTGTGTAAAATGGGATGCGACAAATACATAATTAGGGGACACTTGGAATCCATCAACCCCTGTGTCCTTGAGCACCAGAATCCTGGGTGGAGAAGGAAATCCAGGGCAGAGATGTGATCCAGAAAATACTAAATAAAACACTGCAGTCCTCAGTTTAAATTGGAACTATCCAGATGAATTCATAAGGTATTTTGTCCTTAAAAACAGAGATACATGGTATGTGTATATATACACTCACACATACATACATGTGTGTCCACCTATACTTCCTAGCTCCACCCACTGGAGACCCAGGACAATGACCGACCCAGCAAGAGGGAGCATCCCAGTGCCCGCACCATGGGTCTTGAGATACCATCTCTCATCAAAAGAAACCAGGGTTTCTTGGAGACGTGGCTGATTCCAGGTCTGAGGCAGGAAAAGCACGGATGAGTGTGGAACATGCTGACTCCCCATCAGCCACCACTGGGCCACGTCAAAAGGACACAGGAGCCAACGAGGATCCCACTTGCCAAAGGTGGGATATTTGAGCCTCAACAAGGACCAGAATCTCAATAGGTTGAAATTCATCAAATATATTTAAATCCGTGAGTCCGTAAAGATATTAAGCATTCTTTTGAAAGCTAATTCATCACCTTCTCAGGATACAAGAGAACCAAATCATTACCTTGGGAACTAAGTAAACAAAACAGGAAAATCCAGCATGCAACCCACCTTTTCTGTATGAACTGTACCAGGCAGCCAAGTTGTAGACAAGGGAAAGCGTCTCTTTCTAACATGCCAGCTAATAAATGAAATGAACAGATACAGTTAAAAGACCTCTATTCTGCGATCCCCGGTGAAGCAGTGGGTCTAGGCACTGAGCTTCAGTGGCTGCTAACAGCCCCAAAGAAAACCCGCTGTGAGGTGAGGTGCTCCTGATGAAAGAACAAGCACCTGGAGCCTTGCCAAAGGGCGAGGACCTGAGTGTAACCAAGTCCCTGGGTCCAGGTGCCAGCTTGCAGCACACAGACGGACACGCGGGGCTGCACCAGCCGTGTGTGAAGACAGGTCAGAGTCAGGCCCTTCAACAGTGAGGCTGTGAGGCCAGGAAGGGCAGGCAGAAGGGTGTACACCACCAGATCGAGACACAGCAGGCTTAAACGTGAGCAAGATTACAGTGTCTACACCACAGCTACCCTTGAGAAATAAACCATAAAAAACATGAGGAGGCATTATCATAAAAGTCAGGATAGTGGTTATTTTTGGAGGAGGAAGACTGTATTTGGTGAGGTGCAGGAGGGGCTTCTGGGGTGGTCAGCAAACGTGTAGTTTTGATATGAGTGGTGATTATTAGGGTGTTCCAATAATTCCCTATACTATGTATTTACTTCCTGTATCTGATTTTACTTTACAATAACAAGATAAAAACTAAAAATTTCCTGTGTGCTCACGTTAGGTACCGCTCCAAATTCTTTGCACATATTAATGCACTCCATTCTCCCAACAACTGTGAAAGATGATTCTCATCTGTTTTACAGATAAGAAGAATGAAATACAGAGATTAAGTTATAACAAACATATGAAAAGATGCTCAGTCTCGCTAGTAACCAAAGAAATACAGATTCAGTCGAGATACCATTTTCCCAGCTTTCAATGGGCGCAAATCTGCAGTCAGATAATGTTACTGAGGGCAAGTGTGGGGAAGAGTAGGGACTAGGGACCCTACGCCAACAAGACCAGAAAACGTGCACAACCCTCCATGCTGGCTACACACTAGGGAAATTCTCATCAGGTACAAAAGAAGACAGGAACTAGGAATTTCACAGCACACTGAAATAAGTAAAAATTGGGAAACATCAGAAAGGAACAGATTAAGTAAAATGTGGCATATTCATCTGAGGGGAGATACAGAAATTAAAACAAACAACTAGTCCTATAAATATCAGTCTGTCTCCCACAAACGTGCTTAGTGAGAACTGCAAGTTGCAGAATGAACTTACTGAGAGAACAAAGCACAGACAAGTACTACTTATGGACACACATATGCCTGTAAAGAACACACATACGAGAGAGACACACACCAAAGTGTGACAACGACAGCCTCTCAGAATGGGGAGGGGACTGTGGCAAAGTGGGGGTCAAATGCTGCTTCAACATTGCCTACTTTATTTTTACAACCCCCCAGCAAATGCAAGACAATAACTTAGTCCCAGGATGGCAAGGTGGGTGTTTGTGGGACTCGGCAGAGAGGCCTAACGCCGACACAGGAAGCAGCACTGGAAAGGACAGTGGTCAGGGGCTGTCTCAGAGCCAGACTGCCAAGTGGCCCAGCTTCGTCCTCTGAACCAAGCTGGTGGGGCTGCACACACGTTCATACCACAACACTCTAGGAACAGTGCCTGGCGCAGAGCAAGCAGCACCCGGAGGTGCCAGCTCTCATCATCGCACAGGGACATGGACATGCCCTCCAGAGGGACTAGTGGCACAAAGGATGGGTGACCCCCTTCCTTGAGGTGTTTGCTGGTGACACGGGAGTCTGCTCCGCAAACTTAGGGAGCGCCCTTACGATTCCGTGCAGTGCTCTGCACGTGTGCTGTTCTTTAGTGAGACCCAGGAAGAAAGAAGGAAAAAAGGGGCATGTGACAAATAAGTCTATAAAGAACTAAGATGAGCAAAGAACTAGAGCGGCACCCTGGACTATAAGCTAAAGAAGAAAACCATCTACTAGGAATTTCAGGAAACACCCCTTCCAAAGATAAAGTACGAAGAAGCAAAAGTCAAGTCACGCCCTGAGAGAAAGGAGACGTCGTCATAACCACGTGGGAATGTGAGCTGAACGAGGTACTGCTGCCACACCTGTTAGGTGCAACGACGACCCGGAGGTTAACTTTCTTAGAACGTCCTTATCAGTTACATTAGGGGAACGTCCTGAAGTCTCTGTAGATGGAAAGCCAGTAACTTCCCAGGATTTGCTTTAAGACAGGCCCAGGGACACGCAGGGCAGGGAGAGCCGACGGAAGGGGCCGGGAAAGGCGGACCGCGGGCGGCCGCGCCCTGCAGCTCCACGGCGAGTCCGCGACGAGCCGGGCCCCTTCTCCCCACCGGCGCGCTTGCGCACTCCTGCTTTACCCGAGACCCCGGAGACCCTCGGGCCAGGCCCGCGGCCCGCGGCGCCTACCTGCAGCTCTCCTGGAAGCGGCAGCGGCCCTCCAGGAAGAACGGGCAGGGCTTGAGCGCGCGGTGCGTGGGGTAGAGGTAGAGCACGCGCACGCCCGCCGCGCCGCCCGCCGCCGCCTCGGCGCCCACCACCATGGCGCCGTGGTACTCCAGCGCGCCCCACGGGCTGCGGTAGGGCGCGCTCACCGTGCGCCCGCTCAGCGCGGCGCCGGCCTCCCCGCCGGCCTCGGGCCCCGGCGCGCCGGCCTCGGGCCCGGCCTCGCGCTCGGGCTCGGCCTCCGGCCCCTCCGCGGCCTCGGCGGCGGCCTCCGGGAAGGCCGGGCGCTCGGCCTCGTCCTGCGCCGCGCGCTCGCCGTCCAGCGCGGCCAGCAGCTTGCTCTGCCTGACGGACGCCAGGCTGGCCTCCGTGAGCGCGATCAGCTCGCGGAGGTCCCGCTGCAGCCGGCGCAGGTCGGCCAGCTCGGAGGCGTCCAGGCCGGCGCGCAGGGCCCGCTCCACCTGCCGCAGCTGCGCGCCGTGGGCCTGCAGGGCGGCCTGCAGGCTGTCCTCGTCCATCCCGAGGGCGCCCGGCCCTGGGGGGCGGCCCGGGTCGTCGCGGGGGGCGCCCGGGTGCTCGTGGGGGCGGTTGCCCGGGGGCTCGCGGCGGGGTCGCCTGGGTCCTCGGGAAGCGGCCCGGATGCTGGGGTCGGCCCGGGAGCCGGCGCTGCGGGGAGAGAAGCCGGTGAGCCGGCGGGAGCCTGTGCCGGCGGGCGCGGGGCCCTCAGGACCCCCTCAGGGCCGCCCGCGGAGCCGGGAGCAGCTCGCGGTCCCGCCGCCGGGTCGAGAAGACAGGCGGGGAGCGGCGCTCAGCTCCAGGCGGAAGAGCCGCCGCCGGCTCCATCGGGCCTCGGCGTCGCCGCCGGCCGGGCCCCCTCGGCGCCGCGCCCCCGCCTCCGCGCCCCGCCGGGCCATAGAGAGCCCGCCGCCTCACCGGCTAGAGCGGCCTGGCGCCCCGCTTCCGCCCTCACGGCCGACCCGCGCTTCCTCCCGAGCGCGGCCGCCACCGGAAGTGCCTGGCGCGGGGGCCGCCGGGACGGCTCCGCCCCTTTCCGGACTCCTGGGCCCGCGACCCGTCGGGCGCAGCGCGGGGTCAGCGGGTCAGCGCGGGTCCGCGGGGTCAGGCTCGGCGGCCCGCGGGCGCAGGTAGGCGGCTTGGGTCTCCGCCTCCCGGGCGGGCCCGAGGCCTCGGCGAGGACCGGCGGACGGGGCTCCGCCGTCGCGGCGGCCGGCCCGCGGGCCCCGGAGACCGGTGTCCGGGCGGGGCGGGAGGCCCCGCACACGTACGCCGCTCCCGGAGGCGGGCGTCCGGGGTTTTCGCCGTGTTTCCCGGGCGGGCAGGGGCGGCTGTTCCTCGCGGGCCGGGGTGGGAGGGGCGCGGTTACCCGGCCGGGGAGCGCCTCGGGGGCCCGGGCGGGCAGCGGAGGGAGGCTCGGCGGTGACTGGGAAGGAGGAGGAGAGATCTGGTCTGTGTTCTGGGGGCAGAACGCCCCTGAGCGAGGACGCCAGGGAGACGCCCGGAGGGATGGGGAGAGTTGCGGGGAAGAGGGTCGGGCGGCGCGGGGAGTCGGGAGTGCCCCAGGCCAGCTCTGGGCAGCCGCGGGCTGGGCCGCGGGCGCCGTCCACCACTGTGGGCAGCTGGCGGGAGGGGGCGCCGTCGGATCGTTGTGACCGGTCTCTCGCGGTGCCCAGGGCAGGATGTACACGCTGCTGTCGGGCCTGTACAAGTACATGTTTCAGAAGGACGAGTACTGCATCCTCATCCTGGGTCTGGACAATGCCGGGAAGACGGTGCGTTCTTGTGCCCACATCCCCTGGTCCTTTTGATTTTATTCCTTCACTTGCACATCCACTGCCCAGACAGGATCCAAACCCCATTTAAGGCCGCGGGACAGTTGGCACCCGCTGCTTTAAACGCAAGACACTGTTCTGTTTTGCTGTGTTTTAGAAGAATGGGTCCAAGGGGGGATATTTGGGAAACAGACTTGGAAACTTCTCCAGCCCCTATCTGACACCTCTCTTTCCTTCTCCCTAGACCTTCCTGGAGCAGTCAAAAACCCGGTTTAACAAGAACTATAAGGGCATGAGTCTATCCAAAATCACCACCACCGTGGGTCTAAACAGTAAGGGGGTCCTTTAGGGCTGTGGGTTTGGGGGGCAGACCCCTGAGGATGCTGTGATGTTCTCAGGCCAGCAGGCAGGCAGCAGAGCCCTGTGTGTGAGGCCTCTGCTCCAGCTCCGTGGGCCGGTCCTGGAGGAGCACCAGAGTGGCCTACTCTCCCTGGAGGGCTGGGAGATGGTGTGTCATGGATCAAGGCCACAGCCTCGCCCGTTTTCTTCTCCCCCCAGTTGGCACTGTCGATGTGGGAAAGTCTCGCCTCCTGTTCTGGGACTTAGGGGGGCAGGAGGAGCTGCAGTCTCTGTGGGACAAGGTAATACGGATGCCGTGCACTGCCTGCCCCTCGGGCCATCTCTCCCCAGGTGGCACCCCTGGGCCTCTTCCTCTCTCTCCTCCGGAAGCCTCAGCATCATTGTCCTTCCCTCCTGTCAGCAGCTCCCTTCACCCACTTTGTTCCTGAGCTGTCCGCTCCCCTAGTCCTTTGCCAGTTCCCGCGTTGCTCCCCCGACAGTGAGGACACACTTGGTTCCTTTTAGCTTAGAGACTGTGTTGCTAAACATGGCCAAGAAACAGATGTGGGGAAGGTGCCAAACCTGTGGTGCTCAGCTCCACCACCCGGGCCTGTGTCCCCTGCTTAGGACCTGTTCCCCATGGTGGCCCCTTCCCCGTCGGGGAGGATGTCTTCAAAGCCCACAGTAACTGTCTCATCTTTCGCCGTAGGTTTGGGGCATTTCTCAGACCCTACTGTGGTGCTCCTGCCCCGACACCCCAAGGCTGGAGTCTGTATCCAGCTCAGCCTGCGCCCAGCACTGGGGTCCAGTGGTGAGCAGGGCAGACCTAGCTCCTTCCCTGGGCAGCCCCCTCTGGTGGATTGGCAGGGTGGGTTGGTCCAGCCCAGTGCTGGGCGCAGGTATACCTGCCCTGACGCTTGCCGGTAGCCCATGTGTTTAGAACTGAGTGCCCAGGCCCTGATTTCTGGTGTGACTCCAGTAGCAGGTACCTAGTGACCTTTTTCTAGTCCCCTCAAAGCATCTTCTCCTGCTCTCTTTTCTAACCAGGAGAGTAGCTTATGTTCTGTGGTCAAAAGATCACTGATAGGCTCTCTGTGGCTGTTTAAGTTGGACTAAGGCAGTCCAAACCCCAGACCCATGTGGGGAGTGAAACAGATCCTGATGTTCTGTCACAGGCCAGGGTCTCAGGAGCAGAGGCTGAGACAGAGGTTGGGGTGCGTATTGGTGACCAGCACCTGGGAAGGGAGCCGAGAGGATGCAGGACCAGGCAGGGCTCCCATGCTGGGGCCGGAGGGACTGTGGAGAGGAGAATTGCTCATGGCTGCCCCCTGTCAGGCCATGCTGGCCAGGACTCCCTGCTGCCTGGCAGCTCACCATGGTGGGCTGCCCTAGGCAACTGTGATCTGCTAAGGTGGCCCTTTGTGGATCAAAGTGGGTCCTGCAGGAGCCAACTAGAGGCTGACGACTGGGCACACAGCCTGCCACTGGGCAGCCAGGCCGCAGCAAGGGACAGGTTCCTGTGCAGTCACCGCCCACCGTGCTCTGCTCACCTCCATGCCCTGCGTTGGGGAGTGGATCCTCCAAGACCAGGGCCTTCTCCTGAGGGGAAGCTGGAAGAAGGAGAGAGGGACAAACTGTAGGCCTGCTTTGCAGCTGGTTGTGGCCACCTTCACTGCCACTCCTGCCCGTGCTGTGGCCTCGTCATGAGGGTCTGAGCCCCTGCCTGCTGAGCCCTCCTCTGGTGGACTCCTGGGTTCCTCACATGCTCCCTGGCCTGCCAGGGAGTGGGTGCCCTACCTCCTGCCAGGGAGGGGTCTCTGCTGAGCCCTGGACACTAGTTGCCCAATGTGCTCAGGAGGCAGCCAGGGGTCGTGACTCAGGGGGTCTCCTGCTGAGTGGCTGCCTTGGTGCTGACCACACCCCCAGCCCTGCAGAGCCCAGGCCTGGGGATGGACAGCAGAGTCCCCTGTGGGTCCCCGGGGGGTAGGAAGTAGAGTTCTTAACTCCCTCTCCAGGTCCTCAGTGCTGCGTCCTAGTCCCTGGTCCCCATGCAGTCCAGCACTGCAGCACTCTGTTGGGCCAGCTGAGTCATTTTGTCCCTGGTGGATGTCTGGTGGACCTTTACTCTTGTGTCCACTGCCTCACGTCTGCCTCACACCTTCATCTAGACTGTGTGGTGGTGTCCATGGGTCTGTATGCCGGCCAGCCTTGGGCCACGTCCACCCACATGCGGGACTAGTTGGACCACCTGGCAGTCTGTCACAGGGAGGACTTCTGGCTCCTGTTCCTCCAGGCCACACACTTCAGCGTGTGCCCACCCAGAAGCCAAGGTTCCAAGCTTGAGCCCTTCTCACTTTCTGCTGGTTGTGTAGGATCCCCCCCATGTGACCACATGTGACGCAGCCGTCAGGCTTGGGAGCATGGCAGGTGCTGTAGGGTCAGGGCAGCCTGCTGTGCCCTGGTCCTGCTCACACTTAGCCCCAGTCGTGCTGCTCTTGTCACTGCCACCACTGCTGGGCTGTCACCGTACATCTGCCAGGTATGGTGGTGGCTCCAGCACCCATCTGCCAGGGCCCAGTTCCACACCAGGAGTGAAGTCCTCTGCCAGTGTCTGGGGCCCCAGTGGCTGCCTGGTGATTCTCTCACTGGGTTTGCTGCAAACCCCACACAGTAGCCCTTCTTGTTTTGGAGACCTCCACTGTAGGGCCTGCCAGCTCCCTTGTTTCAGCCCCAAGACAGCCAGACTGCTCCTTGGAGCCCCTGCAGAATGCCTGCAACTCTCCGTCACCCAGCACATAGGCCAGAGAAGTTCCTGTGTGTGGGGCTGGTGGTTTGCAGAACACTGGAGGCCCCTTGTTGGGTTCCTTCTCTGTGGCAATGCAGATAGAAAAGTTTGTCTTGTGCTGGGGTGGGGGTGCCCTGCTCATTGCACCCCAAGAATTGTCCAGGGCTACCAGGCTTGCCCCTCCCCAGTTGTCTCCCACCCTTGGGAACACGTGCATCACCAGGGCCCTGAGCTTGCTGACCACTGGCTCGTCCTGCCCAGTCAGCAGAATGGCCTTGCTGTAGCAGTCAGTGTGGTGGTCTGTCAAATGTGCAGTTGTTCTGGATCCCTGGGCTCTCTGATGGACAAGCAGGAGAGCTGGGGCCAAGTGGCCAAGATGCTGCTGTCTGCTCCCCGAGAATGCGGGTGCTCCTGACGTTCTCTTCTGATCAGGATAGGGGGTTGACTCGCCAGGTCTGTGGCTGCATCCGTTCCGCCCTGTGCCCAGGGCGTCCCTCCCTCAGATGTCCCCGCTTTGTGCATCTGTCTTCCCAGAGGTCCTATGTTCCATTCGCACCCGCATAACTGGCCCCAGGCCCCAGTCTCTGGTGATTAAATGTTGCAGGGGCTCTTGTGACAGACACCATTGGTGTCAGCAAGCCCAGGGCTGACCACCCTGCTGGCACCAGTCTGGCGTATAGAGCTGCAAGCTCGGTAGTGCCGGTTCCGTCTTTGCCCTGCCATCCTGTGTAGGGGCCAGAGCTGCTTCTAACGTGGTGTTGGCCTCACCTGTCAGGCTTACTGTCTGAGCCAGCACAAGGACCCACCAGAGCACTCTCTCCACCTCCAGGTCTTCAGAGGGACCGGCTTGGTCTGGTCTTGTCCAGTCCCCAAGCCTTATCTTCCCCTTTTGGCCACCAGGAGGCTGTGGTCATGGGCGGTTCTCAGGAGCAGACACTGAAGTGGGGTTTGAGATGCAGCACTGGGAGGTGTGGGGGAGGGGGCCACTCCCTGCCCAAGCTCAGAAGCCCTTCCTGAAGGGGTAGGGGGCACATCTCCACTCCACCCTACCTCCCCGCCCCCGGAAGGGTCTTCTAGTCAGGGCTGCCCTGGGGCAGCCGAGGGCCCATGGCTCAGCACCCCATTTCTGCCCCTCTTCAGTACTACGCAGAGTGCCATGGTGTCATCTATGTCATCGACTCCACTGACGAGGAGAGACTCTCGGAGTCCAAGCAAGCATTCGGTGGGTGTGGCCTGGCCAGGGCTGGGAGGGGGCTGGGGGAAATGGCCGGGTCCAGTCTGCACATCTCGTGTGTCTGGAGCTGGCCTTGTGGGGAGGCTGGGCCCACACCAGGTCAGAAGGGCCCTGGCCCAGAGAAAGCATCCCCGCCTGAGAGGTTGGCAGGGACGTGGGGACACCAGGGCAGAGGAAGGGTGCTCACTGCCACCTCTCCGCCGCCAGAGAAGATGGTCACGAGTGAGGCCCTGGACGGTGTGCCCATCCTGGTGCTGGCCAACAAGCAGGACATTGAGGTGAGCCCTTTGGTGTGAGCTCCCCACTGCCAGGGGGCAGGGGTGCCTGTTCCAGAGGAGGGCCATTGGCTTCCTCGGACACCCAAGCTGGGCCTTCCCAGGGTGCACAGAGCCCCTCCCCCAGGCCTCTGCCGCCACGTTGGGTGCCTTCTCTCCACTGGAGGGTGGCTGAGCGTGTCCCTTTGCAGCCGGCAGCCTCGTGATGGGGAGACTCAGGTGATAGTCTGGAGAGAAACGACAGGGACCCCAAGGTGGGAGTTAGCACAGCCCTTGATCTGTGTGCTGCTCTTGGGGTTGGCACCTCCCAGGACCAGGGGCAGCAGTGGAGGGGCACAGACAGGCCATTGGTCAGCTGCACCTGTCCACCCAGGTGTGGGGTGGCTTGGTGACTGCATGGACTGTCTGCGTGGTGGGGGTGCTGTATAGCAGTGCCCCTTTTCTGGAGCACATGTCATGACCACCAGCGGTCCTGAGGGCCAGGGTGCATCCTAGATCACGTGTGGTCTGTTCGGCTCTCTCTTCCCTGCCACCTGCTCCCATGTCCCTGTCAGGCCACTCACCAGACAGGACCCCTCCTGGGAAGAGAAGCCCCCAGGGGGCCACCACTGCTTCATACCCTGTCCTCAGCCCCCCGCCACGAGCTCATGTCCAACCCAGACCAGCTCTAGAGACTGCCCTGGAGCCGGGAATATGGCCTCAGAGGGACAGGGCACTGCTCCTCACGGCCTCGCCTCCCCACAGACTTGTCTCTCGATCCCTGACATCAAGACAGCATTCAGCGACTGCACCTCCAAGATCGGCAGGCGCGACTGCCTGACCCAGGCCTGCTCGGCCCTCACGGGGTGAGTAGGGCCCCATCTGGTGGGCCGGGGGCACGGCCGGCCCTGCCTCATGCCCACTGTCTCCACAGCAAAGGGGTGCGCGAAGGCATCGAGTGGATGGTGAAGTGCGTTGTGCGGAATGTGCACCGGCCACCACGACAGAGGGATATCACGTAGGCGCACAGCTCGTCCCCGGGCACAAGAGGAGCGCTCCTGCTGGCACCAGCCGTCCAATCCTGGGGGCTGGGTTTGCTTTGCCTTTTGGTTTTTCCATTTGCTTTGTTTTTTCTCTAAGACAAACTTTTCTCTGTGTCTGGAAAAGCGTAGGCATCTGGAGGCTTCTGCTGAGGGGATTTGGGGCCCCAGGGCCACCGGGCACCACACAAGCCCTATTTGACCCCCAGTGGGGCCTGTGGCCACATCAGACCTAGTTCCCCACCCCTGAGGCTCCGGTTGGGGCCTTGGGGGTGAGGCCTTGGCGTGAGCAGGCTAACTCTCCCTCTGGAGCTTGCATGTCTGCCCGGGGCACAGCCTCAGGGGAGCTGGTTGGAAGTAGGGCTTTCCAGAGCTGTGGGACCCTCCGGAGCTCCAGGAGCTCTGCATGGTGCACCCATGGAGGACACTGGGGCCACGGCTGCCCTCAGCCTCTGCCTCCTGTGATCTTGGAGGTGGGCTGGGGGCTGGTGTCACCTGGAGGGAGACCTTGTCCACGTCCCCGAAGGCCAGCAGGGCCTTGGGTTCTGATGCAGTCTTGAGACGGGGCAGGGAAAGTATGTGTGGGAGGCCATGTGCCCCGCCTCAACCCCACATGGCGTCATTTTGATCCTCAGCAAGAAGGGAAAAGCCAGGAGGCTGTGTTGGGTGTGGGTGTCCCCTCTTAAGCACACACACCTGCCACCAACATGGGACAACCATGGTTGCCCACTCCGGTTGCACGGGTGTATTGAGAAGGTGAGCTAGCTCCCCAAGGAGCTGAATTGGTGGTGTGCTGGGCCTGCATTCCCAGCTGGGGTGAGGAGTGGAGTCTCCCTCAGGTCTGGGGACAAGATGTCTAGAAATCCCTTTCCAGGCCTGTGCGGGGGAGTGGAGACCCCCCCACACACATATACACACGGCCCCTGTGGGAGCAGGCAACATCCAGTGGGCCAGGCTGTGGGCAGGAGGCTGTCTGGCTGGTGCTGGCTGGGGTAAGCATGCAAAATAAAGGTGGTCCGAGTAGCTCCTGGCCATCGTTGCTCTGGGTGTGGACTCCCAGCTGTCTGGGCACTGCCTTCCTGCTTCCATGGCAACAGCCAGAGACCTGGTGGCTTCGTGTTGGAGGGTCAGGTCCCTCCAGCCTGCCCTCCCTCCCCAGTGGGGGCCTGCGAGGAGTTGCTGGGAAAGGGATGAGTCAGGGTGGGGGTGGGGACCCAGCTGCAGGTGAGGTGACTCACCGGCTGTGAGGCCCTTCCCTTCCCCTTTTGGGGGTCAGGCAGGGGGCTCCAGAGCCTGAGGGGAGGGCTGGGAGTCCCCCAGGCTGTTCTGGAGCAGTCAAGCCTTCATCTGAGCCTGCCCAGGAGCAGAAAAGCCTTGTTTCCCAGAAAGCATGGGACGCACAGGCCTTGGAGGAAGTCTGGCTGGTGTCCTTCTGGGAAATCCCCACCGGTTGGGAGCGGGTTGGGATCGGTTGGGAGTGGGTGGAACTTGAAGGAAGGGCAGAGTAAGAGGGATGGGGTTTCCTGGCCACCCAGGGCACACAGTCTGGCACTGGCCGGTCCAAGCTGGGTCCTGTGCCAGGGAGTCTCTGGACTTCTTGATGTGCCCCTTCTGGGCACTGTCTGCCACAATGACCCTCCCTGGCCAGCCCTGACCCTCCACGCTGTCCTGACCCTTGAATGACTTGAGGGGTCACAGAGTGAGCCTCAGGGACCCCTGCCGCACCCCACAGCTGGAAGGGGCACACCTGCCACCTGGCCATCATCAACAATGCTTCCCCCATCAAGGGTCTGTTCTGGTGGGGGATGGGGGGTTGGGCAGCCCAAGGGCTTGAGGAGCACTGGGGCGGCCCGTTGGGTGTCTTCCCCACCAGGCGTCCCCACTGTGCTCCCAGCAGACAGAGCGCTCAGTTTGACACACAGCTTTATAAAAAATAAACTCTTAGCACAACAGGAGCCTGGTCAGAAGCCTCCTTTGGCAAGGCTGGGGGCAGTGCCCACGGAGGGCATGGCCGGGGAGTAGAATAAATAAGGGGGTGCTCAGTGAGCCAGGAGGAACCGCTCTCGGATGGTGCGCTCCAGCCCAGGCAGCCTGGCCTCGCGCAGTGCCTGCAGCAGCCTTGCCAACAGCGGCTCAGTCCGTGCCTCACGGAGCTCCGTGAGCTGCTGCCACAGCTTCAGCTGCAAGGCCATTCGGCCCTCCCTGGGTGTCAGACTCTGTCCCCCGGGGCCCATCAGGGCCTGCTGCAGCCGCAGGAGCCTCTTGAAGGAGATGTCCTGGAAGACCACAAAATCGATGACGGCGCGCTCGCACTCCTCAGTTCCTGCAGGAGGGTCGGGGTCGGGGGCTCAGTCAGGCCCAGCAGCAGGTCGTCAGCCCGCAGACCCTGATGTCCCTGATGGGGACATTGGGAGGGTGCAGGACAAAGGGGAAATCCCTGAGCTAAGAAACGGGTGAGACCGCTGAGAGTCTAGTGGGAGGGGGAAGTGGGGCTGCAAGATGGGGGGGACTGGGAGGGGCCGTGGCCAAGGATGAGAAGCCTCACTAAGGGTCTGCCACTTCACTGCTGTGTGACCTCAAACAAGCTGCTTAAACTCTCTGGGCCTCCGTTTCCCTACGTCCGAGGGTGGGGTGGGGATAGCATCACCTGCCAGCACTAAAATGCACCCCTACCACCCCAGGGCTCTGTGGTGGGGGGGGGCCTCCAGTGCCCCTTGACCTCACAAGGCTTCTGGAGGCCCTTCCCAGGGGCCAGCTAAATGCCTCATGTTCCAGGGCTGGACTCAGCTCTGAGAGCTGAGCGGCAGGGGCACAGGCTGACTCCATGGACCCCCGGGTCACCTGGTCCTCCAGACTCCAGCTCCCCGAGCGGGAAGGCGGTGCAGCTGGTGCACAGCGCGTCATGGGAGGGGGAGCCCGGAACGTTGACCGCCAGGCCCAGGGCCGTGCAGTTGCGGTGTGGCTGGCACTGCTCGGAGCTCGAGCTGCTGGCCGAGAAGGTGCCCGGCGCACACGGCTGGCACTGCGTGTTTCGGCTGGCAGTGCCTGGGGACGAGAGGTGGGGACGGAGTCAAGTGGAGCTGGGGTGTCTTCCTCGCCGGGCTGAAGTGCCCACGCCACCCCCCCGGGCCCCGCACCCACCGGGGGCCGCCACGCCGGCGCCGGGCGGGCAGGGCGCGTGCTCCAGGCAGAAGCCGGCGTGCGCGAAGAAGCCGGGGCGGCAGCGGCAGGCGCGGTTGTGGGTGGCCCCGCACGGCCGCGCCTCCTCCTCGCGCTCCCCGCAGATGACGTTGCAGTAGCGGCAGCGCTCCAGGTAGTTCCAGAACTGCGTGTAGTGGCGCGGCGGGCACGCGCCGCACGTCGTGGGGCTGTCCCGGCCGCACGGCCGCTGCACGAAGGTGCCCGGGGGGCACTGGCTGCACACCAGCCACTCCCGCGTCTCCGCGTCCCGCCAAGGGTACGTGGGCGCGCCCGCTGCCGCCCCGCGCACGGCCAGCGCCAGCAGCAGCGCGGCCAGCGCCGCCGGCGGGGTCAGCAGCGGCCGCTCGGGCGCCCACATGGTCCTCTCCCAGCTGGAGTGGCGGCTGCGGCCTCCGGGTGCCCTGGAGCGGGGACAGCCTCGGCCAGTCCTACCTGCAGCCACCCGCGCTCCGGCTCCGCTGCGGTGCCGCGTCTATATGGGCCGGCCTCGCCACGCCCCTGTGGGAGGGGTCGGCGACCTCGGGGGCGATGCTTTGATATAGTTGTCGGCAGCGTCACAGCTCTGGGGCCCCTCCTTCCTCGGGCAGCACTCCCCGAGCGCCTACCCAGCCCCGCGAGCCCAGTGCAGGGCCAGCCTTCCCGACACTAGGAGTATAGCTCGTGACCCAACGCCCCTGGCATCCAGGGTGGAAGGGGGGTCCAGCTTCTGCTCATCTGTGTCACAGAGGCTGAGCCGAGCTGGGACGAAGCATTCAGGGCGCCCTCACAAGGGACAGGGTGAGAGGGGGACCCTTGCAGACACCCCATCCTTCCTTCAGGGAACCTTCAAATCCCACCAAGCCCAGCAGCGCAAACAGCGTCCAGTAGTGCCAGCAGCTTTATTAGGGCGAGCCCTGTCGCCTGATTAAAAGCAGGTCTCCTGCCCATGCATAGGCCCCTGAGAATGTCCCCCAGAGGATGGAGCAGAGGAGGACCCCGTTCCCGGTCGTGGACTCAGCTGCGAAGCCCCCAGGGCTCCCCCCACAAGCCAGCAGCAGGGTAAAGTTCTGGAAACACCTTCCAGCTGACCCCCCTGCCCCCAGACCTTCGGGGGGTTCAGGGCTTCTTGCAGGTGGGTTCAGACCCTGCTGCTGTCTCAGAGCTGTCCCAGACACAGGACTGGCCTCCCTCGAAGGTGGGCTCTTGGCCGGGGTTGCTGTGCTGGGTCTGGCCCACGCCCTGACAGGAAGTGTCCAAGCCTGGTCCGGGGTGGGGCGGTCAGCCTCTACACACCCTGCAGGGCCTGAGTGTCTCCACACTCACCAGGGCTCTGGCCAGAAGACCTGCATGATGCTCTGCCTCCTGGTGGCGGTGTGGCAGGCTGGACACGTCCTAGAGGCCTGTGGAGACACAGAGGGCACTGGACACACGGCTACCCACCTCCCCACTCTGTCCACTGGGTGGGGTGGTGCTGGCAGGCCATGTCCAAGGGGGATGGGGCTGTGTGCACAGGGTCGGGCGGCCGACCTGGAGGTGCCGTCGCCAGCAGGCTCGGCAGCGGTGGAAGTTGCAGGAGGGGCACTGGAAGAGGACAGCGTCCTCCGCCCCACAGCCGGGGCACGCCGAGCCTGCTGCAAGGGGGCCGCGTGAGTGCCACGGGCCTGCTGCTCAGCTGGCCCCCACTCCCCACAGTCCCTGCAGCCCCCCACGAGACCTACCCCACTCAGACTGCGCGTGCCCGCGGGGGGCCCCGGGGGGCCGGCTGGGAGACCCCGCACCCCCCACCGGTCTCTGTCTAAAGAAGGAGGAGATCTTGCTCTGGGTCCTCCCTGGTTTGTCCAGCTGTGAGGGGCCTGGAGACAGAGAAGTGAGTTTGGGGGGTGCCTGGCGCTTCACTGCTGCCCACCCCACAGAGCTGAGTGGGGCTCCAGGGTGACAGGCAGGGATGGCGGGAGCTCTAGGCAAGTCACCTACCTGGCCCAGGAGCCCCGTGGGTGGGGTCAGGAGGCACGGCAGGGCTCCCCTCCCAGGGTCCCGGCGGCTCGGTGTCCGTGCCCGGGACGGGTGGGCCGGTCAGAGCAGCACACGTCTGCCGGAAGCGCTGCTTGTGGTGCGGGCGCACGAACATGCTGAACCCTGCGTGGAGCGTTGCTCAGGCCCAGCCCAGCCCAGTTGCCCGCACAGCCCCCTAACTGGCCCCCTGCCCCCAGAACCCCTCCGCAGTCACTTGCTCTGCAGCAGGGGCAAGTCCTCAGGCCTCTCCGTGGTAAGGGCAGCCACCACGGCCACCACTTTCTCAAAGTCGTCATCCCGTTTGTAGGTGGTCAGCGCAGCCAGGAGCCGGCTGCAGCCTGCGGACCCCAGGGCCCTGCGGGCATCGGCCAGGTAGGCGCTCACGGCAGGCTGGCCCTGCCGTTCTGCTCGGGGGGCTCCACTCTTCTCCTGTGGACGGCTGCTGGAGACTCCTGGTGGGGAGGTAATGTGTCTCAGGCCGTGTCAGGGGTCCAGGGGCCCAGAGAGCTCCACCTGGCTTCCTGGGCACTCCTGGGGAGCCTTCACACCATCAGCCTCCCTTGCTCTGGGGGGTGCAGAACCAGAGCAGCCCCCCAGGTGACTCCTCCCCCAGGGGTCTGCAGCTCTGCTCCTGGCTCTGGTCCAAAGCGTCCTCAGGGCCAGGGTACCTGCGGAAGACGGCCTGGAGGTCAGGTGGGGCCGGCCCTGGTTCAGATGTTCTCCAGGGTCCAGCTGCCTGGCCGCACCCTGGGACAGGGTCAGCTTGGGGTCAAACTCCCTCCTTCCTGAAGAAATACGGAGACACAAGTAGCTACCTAGGTGGTTCCCGGGGTGGGGGGGGGGGGGGGGGGTCGGAGGGTCCCTGGGGAGGAGGCAGGCCTGTTCAGGGGAGACTCGGCCCGCAGCAGGAGGGCTCTGACTTGTGCACTCCCATGACGGCCGAGTGCTGGGAGGGGGCAGGACTTAGCCCATCCCTTAGCTGGAGGGCCAGGCACGAGGACACTTCATGGGCACCAAGCCCAGTAGGGGGAGGAGTAACTCTCAAGCTGGAAAGTACCCCCTTGGGGGCAGAGGGAGGGGTCTTCCTACCCCCCAACCCCTCAGCCCATGACACCTGTTCTCAGGGAGGTTGGGCTGTTCGTTAACGCATGGGAACAGAAACTCCCAGGCTCTGGAGATGCAGGGTCCACCCCAGGTAGAGACAGTGGGCAGACGGCTCCAGAACCCAGTACGTGCATGATTCGCCAGGTGCATGCCCTGGGGACCCCATACCTCCCCTACATGGCACCACCCTGCAGTGGTGATTCCTGCCAGCCCCCATGTGGAGACAGGGAGGGTGGGCCGAGCTAAGACCCACCCTAAAGCCCCAGGTGCTGCCTCACCCTCAGGGTCTGACTTTGATGGTCCTGACGGAGTAGGGCCCTGCTCACCGCTGGGGTCCAGGGCTGGTGGTGCCCCCTGCCTTTGAGGAAGGCTGTGCTCAGGCTGGTATCCACAGCCTTGGCCGGTCAGCTGGATGCAGACCTCCTCAAACCGCTGCTTGTGGTGAGGCCGCACGAACTGGTAGAAGCCTGTCGGGAGGAGCATCTGGGCCCATGGGTTCCACATGCCGCAGCCAACATGCAGGGCTGGGAGCTCTGGACCGTGGGTCACCCACCTGCACCTTTTCTAGGGAGCAGGGACAACCGTGGACCCCAGTGGCCTGCCCAGTGTCCTCTGTGGTCCCCACCCCATGACTGTGACACTGCCCTGGGGGACAGGCCAGCGCACCTTGGAGCAGGCTGTGCTTCTTGGGGTCCTCGGCAAAGAGGGGGTGGAGGCAGGCCACCAGGGCCTCGAAGTCATCAGAGCCCTTGTAGTCCTGCAGGGCCCGGGCAAAGGTGTCGAAGCTGGCCTGGCTCAGTGCCTGCTTCACAGCCACCATGAACAGCTTGGCCCTGCCAGCCTGTGCACTGGCTGCTGGTCCCTCCTGCTGGACACATGGCCAGGTGCCCTGTCAGATGACACCGACCCTCCTATGCCCCCAGGGACAGCAGGCTGCTGTGGAGGCTGCTGCCCGTGGAAGGCGGTCTCTGGGGGGGCATGTCCAGCGCCAGGCCTGGTTGGGGTCACCCACGGCAGCCAGGTGGGGCTGGGAGAGAATCCACAGATGGCAGCTCCAGTTTGCAACAGGCATGCCCTCTGAGAGCAGCAAGGGGGAGAGCTTGGGTCTGCTGTCCCCAGACTGGGAGCTCCTGCTGCCCGCCAGGCACCACACCCATGGCAGGCACAGCTGCAGCAATGCCCCTGGTGCAGAGGACAGTCAGCTCACAGCAAGGGACACTCCCCAATGTACTGGGGACTTAAAACGTCCCCATGCCCCATTTCTGCTGCACAACCCAGGCCCTGACGCTGGACTCTCGACAAGGAAGCATGGAAACCAGACAGGCGTCCCAGTCCCTATCCAGCTCAGCCCTTGGAGGCCCAGGGCCCTGGCACCCAGCCTACTTCCTGACAAGGTCAGTCCCCCGGGCACCACCCAGTTCTTCCCAGAAGCCAGCGGAGATGGACAAAGGCAGCAGCTCATGGGGCTTTCCGGAGGCTTCCTGGCTCGGGCTGTAACTCAGACGCTCTTAATTGCTTTCCTCTGAGGCTGGGAACGCAGACCCTCCCCACACTCAGGCACGTCAGCATCTACACTCATGCCAAGAGCCCAGCCCAGCCCGCCTCGGGAGCCAGCCCAGCTGAAGGCCCACAGCAAATCTGCTTAAAGGGCCGGGGCCTGACTCCCGCTTGGCATGGGTCTGTGAGGACATTACCAGCCACCCGCAAGGTGCCCTCCCAAAGGAACAAAGCAACAAAATGAAAGCCTCGGATCTGACCGCAAGTTTGCGTGACTCCAAAGTGTGGAGGAGCTACCCCAAGTGGGGGAGACGCTGAGGAGCCCCGGAAATGTGAAGGAGGTCTGAGATGGGTGAGGGTACCACCGGATGCTGCGTGGGGAGGGCACGTGGGAGCTCTGTGCTGTTTTTGTGAGCTTATGGAGGTGAGAAACGGCCTCCAAATAAAAAGTTAAAATGAGAGACTGGGGAGCCGTGCGCGCCACGGTCCCAGTGCACCGGGGCAGCGCAAACAGCTGGGATAGCAGGGGGCCCCTGGAGCTTGCCCTGGAGAGGGAGCCAGCAGGACAAACAAGCTCCTCGTTTGGAGGAAAGTCTGAAGAGGCATGGTGTCTGGAACTCGCTGTAAACATTCCAGCCGAAACAAAAGAGGGGGCGAAGCAGGCCTTGGAGCAGCTGTGGACAGCGGGGCCACTCTCCACTCTGTACCCCCTCAACTCCTGTAGCTGCATGAGGACCCCATGAGAAGACCAAGCCCCATGCCCAGCCAGCTCCCTTCCCTGGGACCCCAGCTCCCAGACGTGGGGACAGCTGAGTTAGGATGGTGAGCAGGCTCAGCCCACTCAAACTTCACACTCTTGTTTGGTTGGGGGCCACCAGCCATGGGCACGGGCACTGAGAGCCACATGTGCCCTGTGGCTCCAACCAGATCCCCACTCTGTGTGTGGCTCACGTACCTGGCCGCTGACCAGCCTGATCTTCTTCCTTCCTCCTCTCTGCTCATCCAGAGGCCTCTTCTCACTCAGGAGGGACAAAGTAGAGCGATGTGCCTGAGGGCAACACAGCTGTGGTCCTGACCCACACCCTCAGGGTCCCCAAAGCCCCGTGTGACACTGTGCCTGGCCCACGGGGTGGG